TTAAATATTTTATATTTGCAGTTGCATATGTCTCATTACATAATGTCATAGATTATAAGCCTACAGAAAGGCTATCTAATATTACTCGTTAGCGCATATTTAGCAAGAAATCTTCATGAAAAAAACTTATATAAAAGCTTCCAAACCAAGTGACGGCATAATTTCGTATCGTTAATTGCAGTAATCCTAGTGGGCGCCAGTGACGCGATCGTGTTGTTTCAAACGGGCGTTCTGCTGGTGGTCACGTCACTCACGTGGGACTACGGGATTCTGTGACGTAGCTCCGCCGCACCTATATATATCCCCGGTCCCCCACCTCCAGACGGTCGGAGGGACCGCATGCCGCGTTCCCAAAATCTCCGTGTAAAAGGAGGGCTTTTTCTGCCGCAGACAAAATCCGGCCAAGAATTGTAAAAACGGGGACGTGTATTTGACTTTTTCACACCGATATTCTTCTAACAAAGTGGCTGTTTATCCTCTTTCTCTCTATTACATCTCTTGAATTCATAGAGAAAACTTTGATCAAATCGCCGGGATCAAATTCCTTAGAATTCCTGCTAGTTTCGAAAGCTATTCAGCGATTATTTTATTTTGAAAATGTAAAATATTGCCCCCTCAGTATCCCCTCCGATCACCTAAACTCTACACTACGTAGTTGTAGACTGGCTTCGACAGTTCACCACGCTACTCACTAACGTCACTACGGTTGGAATGAGAGGCTCACCTGAGGATTAGGCGATCACATTGAAGCAGTGCTTCCGGATTTAGGTGGGTGTCTCTCAAGTGGCAGGAAAAACCGCCAAAAAGCCTCGAAAGGGTGCGGGGTTCAGAAATATTGAGCAGTCCTAGAGATGGGGCCGTGCTTTAAAAGGGAGGAACGCAGCATATGCGTTACCCTAAATAACACTGAGTGGGGGGGCGGGTATATATCCCATATTTCGCGCACTTTATGTCTATCTTCTCTCTCTCTTCTCTTATAGGCACCCATGCACCCTCTCACTCTTTCTTTCTCCCATTCTATCTGTCTGTCCGCTCGTCTGTCTCTCTGTCTGTCTGTCTGCCTGCCTGCCTGTTCGTTTGTTTCTCTTCCTCTTCTTTCTGTCTCGCTTTCTTTCTCCCCCTCTCCTCCTCCACGATATATTTATCGTCCAGAATAGTTCATATATAGCTTGCGTTAAATACTTTTACTGATTTATTAGTAATCAAACAACAACAAATTACGTTCTGTCAAAAATTAACACAGTCTTTCATGAACTACTGAAGGTGTTCGAAAACCCCACTCTTCTTCCACTTCTAACGGATTCTATTTTATCGGACATTCTCGCCTTGCAATATTGGATGCAGTCCGCAAAATGTTGCCTCTTATCACCGCTATATATTATGTGGCGCCACATGCAAAAAAAATAATGGGTAGAAGTTGATACTGATCCATTACGTTAAAAATATGAAAAACCGACAACCAACGCCTACGCTGAAGAAAAATTGATAGCCTTGTGAAAGGTAACACTTCTGTTCTGACGTTAGCAGGTCCGATCATACAAAATTTGTCCTATATATTTTTATTTCTCTTCTGAAGATCGGGGTGCTGTCTTGCTGTCGGCCATAACCTACGTTAGGTTATTAAAGGTTGAATAGACGTGTTACTCTTATCCCGAATGTATATAAGGATTTATGTGAGTGCTTTGTTAGAACAACCAGAACACAGTCATATAATCCAAGGTCTATAATATTGCAGTGGCCTAATCTTTAATATAAGGTTTAGAAACAGTGCAACATACGAGTTTATGGATAGCTCATCGCGCCATCTATCGGGGATAAAAATCAAAATACAAGGGTGGCTTTAGGTGGTGAAGGAGGTGTACAACAGTAAGCCCTAGTAACAACAGTTGCACTATTTCGTCTCTAGAAAAGGCTTTTTTTGGCATTTTTTTGGCTGAAATTCGGCACTAGCTTGCAATAATTTAGCAAAAGCATTAGAAGTAAAATTGGTCTTGTTGTGTACTCGTGACATTCCGTCAGGTGGCGTAGCCGCAGCGACAGGGCTGGCTGATTTTTTGTGTATGAAAGGGGGTTCAGACAACTTTGCAGAAATTCGCAAGCATTAGAGGCTGGCAAAAGTTTCGAGCGGAGCATAGAGCATGAACGCTGGTAGTTATTTAAAAACATGAATAGAAGTGTATGCTTTTTTGTAAGCTGCATTAAACAGTGTGAGTATTTTTAATTAATTTCTGTTTTGTGCTTATTCAGCGCCTGCAGCCTATCGGACGCCCTCTGACTGTTGTTCAACACCTGAACAACAGTGGGGGCCATACTCCATAGCAGAGTCATAGGCAGCAGGCCTGAATAAGCATCGAACAGGAAATTAATTAAAATACTCACACGGTTACTGCCCGCTTAACACAACATACACTTTATTTATGTTAAATAACTACAGATTCTGCTCTCTGCTCCGCTCAAATTTTGCCAGCTCTATGATGCGAATTTCTGCAAAGCTTGCCTGACCTGTAGTAAACACATTTCAAACACAAAAATGACCAAACGGTCGCTGTGCCTACGCCCACCTGACGGAAATGGACACAACAACACGACAAAACCAATTATATTTCGAATGTTTATCTAGACGTCTATCGAGGCATCTAACTTTGTGTGGCATAAATGCAATTATTAGGACTCTGTGCCGAAATTTTGGCAAAAAAATGCCAATAAAAGAGCTTTTCTAGAAACGGAAATAGTGCAACAGGTAAACAGATTTGCGGAGTGCTTACTGTTGTATGCCTCCTTACATGAGCAGCGAAGATACGGATCAACTTGATTTTGATGATAATTTAGAGCCTGTTCCTTATATCGGTACCGAATTTTCAAATGTGGTTTAGACTCCAGGAGCTGGATATCACTCTCTGGAAATGAGCCCCAAAACACAGAAAGCAATGGAAAGCGAAATTAGATGTTCGCTCCATGCGGTGTAGGCGCAGCTCTTAGAACGGGCGGTTAGGTGAAATTGGCACCAACAAAGTTAGTATATTTTGATTACTGTTAGTGTTAGGAGTTGCACAAAAGAGTGAAACCGAGGCATAGTTATCTATTTTCTGGCCCACCAAAATGAGTGGGATTTTAATGTAGATATGTAAATAATATGTACACGGGATATGTACATGTTTGCATAAAATACAATGTTTAAATGTACATTTGAACATTGCATGTGTCAAAACCATGCTGATGAGGGACTGTGCTAACTGATTTCATTAACATAAAATCGAATGATTTCGATTTCTTTGGCCAGAAACAGCTCTGCTTACCAAGCCGCTTAAGGTGCTTGAACAATGTAGAGGGCGAACAGAAAGTTAATTAAAAATACTCAAGCACTGTTACTGCCGCTTTACCACATACACTTTATTCATGTTAAATAACTACACATTCATGCTCGATGCTTCGCTCGAAACTTTTTGCCAGCTCTATGATGCGGAATTTCTGCCAAAGTTTGTCTGAACACATTTCAGAACACAAAAATGACCACACGTCGTCGCAGTGTGCTACGCCACTGACGGAATGACACAACAACACGACAGACCATTTACTTCTATTGCTTTCGAGACGTCCACAGGCATCTAACTTGCGTGCATAAATGCCAAATTATTGCACTCAGTGCCCCGAATCGTTGGGCGCCGGAAACAAAAGGTCGTCAAAAAAAACATGGCTCGGGACATTTTAGGACGAAATTAGCTTGGCCGCAAGCTGAGCTCAACACCTGGTGAACAATTTGCGGAGCTTATCTGTTGTATGCCTCTATTAGTACAAGAAAGAAGACGTGTATGTTGCTGTGTGCTCTCGTGGTACGCCGCTTCTTCTCGCTTCCTTCTGCTGAATACGTATGTCCATTCGCTGGCACGTCCGGGCGGAGCTGGCGCTCACTGCCCGTGAGACCCACCGGAGCAAGTGACAGCTAGCGCCGTGGTGTGCCTGTTAGTGTTTTAGTCTTATGACGAGCTTAGCAGACGTCCCGCTGACATGGTCAAGTTCTGCATGTTTATGGCGCCAGTTCTTGTCTGTATGTATCAGTCACACGGTAGNGCTCCGCTACACTGCAGGCGCCGCGTGCTACACTCCGTGCCATGGACGCGCGTGCTTACACGGGGCCGGACAAATCGGGTTACATCAGACCGGTCCGCGCAGGGGTTGACATATTTGGGTGGCTTTACTGCCTACAAATACCACATAGCGGTGCAGAGCGGGTGGGCTTAATCAGCAAAAAACTCCCAATTTCAAAACAGCTCCGCTACAAAATGACCACCGGCTCGGCTGTGGCTACGCCACCTGACGGACAAATGTATCACAACAACACGACAATGAACCGAATTTTACTTTCCTAATGGCTTTATCTAGACGTACCACGAGAGCAATCTAAACTGTGCAGTGCATGAATGGCAGAATTATTGCAACTCTAGTGCCGAATTTTGGCGGAAAAAGTGGGCAAAAAACGCATTTGTTCCTAGAGACGAAATTAGGTGCGGCAGCAACAGTGAACAATGTGCCGGAAGGCTTAACTGTTGTAATGCCGTCCTTTAGTCACAGAAGCTCTGTTTATGGTTGTTTTGCTTTCACCGCCTTGAGTGTGTAGTTAGGTGTGCATTTTTACCGGTGACATATAGTGGCTTCCCGAAATAACGCATTGTCCGTTGTCCCGAGGCACATACCAGGAATTGCTGGCCGGACAACGCTAACGCAGGGTCTGAGACATTGTCGCGGGTGGGAGCAACCAAAAAAGCCCAAATCTCAAACCTTACACTAAGCATCTAAACCGACTCGGCATCTGTAATATACGCGTGTACCCAATTAATCTAATGGTGTAATGAAGACCTTTTGCTTTGCATATTATTGGCATCTGAGACTGACAATCAATCGCCATGCAACCAACTGGTATAGGCTAGCTAGCAGCAAAGTAATGTTCAGTTTATACTTCAAATCCGAGTGTTTTCTAGCTGCTTCAAAGAATATCGTTAATGCGTGAATTAAACGTGGAAGTGAATATAAAAATATGAGCCAGCTGCTATTTCAAAAACAGCTGTTATAATATCGATAGTTCAGGTTTGTCTGATTTAATGAAAAGGTGAACTCGATTTGGAACCAAAGCAAAAACGCAGCAAGTTTTCCAAAAATTGTTCTGAGGGCGAGGACCGGCCCATACCGCGCGCACGCCGCGCGTGTTTTTCACGAGGCGTCCGTAGAGCGGCCCGCTCCCTTGAAATCACTAGACGCCCAGCCAACTGAACAATTACAATATTTTGGGAGGGCAGAGAAAATGAAACAAAAATGTCCGGCCCTTTTCGCATGGCGCCGCAAGTACAAAGATTTGCAGCAGGCTGAGAGGTAGGGGAGGCCGTAAGGGTGGTGGAGAGGGGAGGGCGAGGAGCCAGTGAAGATAATAGTCATGGCCACTATTTGCGCAGTTCCGCTGTTGTGGTATGGCCCCTTTGTTACAATCCTGGCTACGCCACAGACTGTTTTTGGGTGTTTTCTGATTATATTATTATGTGATTGAAAATAGGAGATTTGGGGATTTTTTTTGGGACAACCAGAAATTGTTGCGGACAACCCGATTTGATGCCGGGGTTGTCCGCAGGACAACCAAATTTTTTTTCTTATTTCGAGCACTGAATAATGTAATCATATGTTGCCATCATGAATGGGCTGTATGGTAAAGCCAGAAAAAACCATAAATATAAGAATAGATAGTTAGTTTGACATTGCCATACCAATAATGCACTCTGGTAGGACCTGTTGTTGTGGAGTGAAGGATAGTTGAGTTATGTTGCAATAACATACACATAAAGTTAGGTGGCAAAAGCCTGGATAATGTGCCTTCATTAAAGGCCCGATATACTCTATATGCCCTATTTAACACATTTCTCATGCTATGAGACAAATTTACGATAGACTGTTACAGTACTCAGTAGATACACAGGCCGATCTGCCATTTCAAAAATGTTCCATGAATATGCCATTATGTTTGGTGTTAGTCCCAGCACCGCATGTGTGGAATATATTTTCTTTTCGTATTAATTGGTCTTTTCTAATATTGTCATGATAATAAACAAATGATTATTTTTTAGGTGCAAAATGCTGTTCCCGAACATACTCAGGAATGGTCGGCTACTGGGTGCCTCGGCTGTACAACACATCCGCAGCATTTCATCAACGCCCGTGCTGCATTGTCGCAGAGAGCTGAAAGTTGTGAAGCTGATGACGTTTCACTATCGAAGTCCTCTGGATTGGTTGAGAAACAAATATCAAACTCACACAGTGCGCGCTAAATTGGATCCAGATTTCGATCTGAATGAGTTTCTTCATGGATCGGTGCAAGCCTGCAGCACAGTGACGTCGGTACTTGCCGGCCAGGATGCCAATCTACTGAATGGAATGTTAACCCCCAAAGCACTAGCTATGGTACAAAATAGCATGCAAAAATACAGCACTGCAGAAATCACAGAACTGGCTTGTGCACCAGAGCACGTTCATTTCGCAAGGCCCAAGAACATTGCTGTGATCATGCTGAAGGATAAAAGATACCTAGATATTGATGTGTTTTTCCTAATCCTTAAAGCATACATAGATGACTCTGACAAAGAAGCTAATGCAAAAATCACTCGAATAATGACCGAGGTGGTCATGAGGTTTAGCAGACAGTACACTGAGACTGTGACAGACTGGTTTATAACAAAGGCAAAAGTAGTTAAGCATACTATTGGTTAAAGCAGTATGATTAGTTTATAACGAGTTCCGTATCAAATACGGTCCAGCTTTATCTGACAAATATAATCGACTATATAGCCCGGGTTTATATTTGGCATGTATAAGTAATACAATGGTGATGTGCATAACTATGCTGCTATTGTCAGCTCAAAAGCTCAGAGGACTGGATGCCTAAAAGAAATGCAAGTTGAAAGCAATATTATATTAGCTTTTTTTTAATATAGGCAAGTGATGAATAAACTTGTTAATACCTATTCATATACGATTCCTATAATGTGTTAGTGGTTTTAATATAGTTCCATTATACATTTTATGCAATGATTACTATTATACAAAATTAAAAAGTGTAGAATGCAGGTAAGCAAAGCTAAAAGGCAAAGATTAACTATAATCCATGGTTCATGTGGTTTTCTTTTATCCCAAAAGACAACATGTGCTCTAACTCATTACCAACCATGGTAAATATTCACCTACAGGCCCATCAGAACCCATCGGACAGAATTGTCGTCTGCTACATATTCTATGGCAATATTCTGAGATGGGCTTGACAGCGCTCTAATGTTGCTCCTGATCCTTGCTCCGGCTGCCACATCGCTGTTCTTATGTATTAAACGTGCATAGGTTTTGCAAGTGCATGTATTCAATATGTTGGAGTACCAGATAGACCTGGTGTACTTATTTGAGACAAATATGTAATATTAGTATGTGATAGTCGTCACACCTTCCATACACCTTATGGCGGGATGCTGCAGCCAAAGTGAAATATTGTAATCGGATTTTGCCATGCACATCTCCTTTGAGCATACACATCTCTTTTTAGCTCATCTGACGTAGTCAGGTGCAGCTTGTAGAATCGCATGATTGTCCGTCCTTCCGTGCCGTCCGTGCGCCGGTCAACAGTTGAGCACAAATCTTAACCGCTCGACGTACGGTCACGATATTCGGGACGTGGGGGGGGGGGGTAATCCGAAAACGAGTGGGGATGTCGAAGCTGGGGTCAAAGGTCAAGAGGTGTAAAAGAAGGGGGAACATTCCCTCCTTAACTTAAGGTATAGGCAGGAAATGTAGAATTGCGCCACAAATCTAAACGGCTCGACCTAGGCTCGTGATAGTCGGTGTATAGCATCATGGTAGGAAAAGCCATCACTGTGCCGAAATTGGAGTCACAGGTCAAAGGTCAATGGGCGCAGCAGGGCAGATTTTAGACATTTTCTGAGGACATGGTCTGACGGAGCGATTGAAAAACTTCTTTTTGTTTCAGCGGTGACCTACCATTTTTTATGGCTGTATTGAAAGGACCATGAAATGTACTTTCCGCTGATATGCAAAGAGTAAGTGTCGGATAACCTTTTGACCCTCAAGAGGAGGGTTAAACATTGATTTGTTGACTGTTAACAAAGGACTGAACTGTTTTTGCTATTATTAGAGCCCATACCTGTGTGAATGTGAGGCTACAGTTGCAGTTTAATTGCAAAGGCAAATGTTTGTTAAGGTTTACACTCCTTAAATCATATTATTTTCTAAAGCAGTCTGTCTATAGCACCCTGAAGGCTGAATCAGTGAATGCTCGTGTAGGTAGGCAAAAACACGGGGCAGCCCATGGCTGGCACGCTTCTAATCATAATTGTTGCCTGCCAACCTGCAATGCATATGCGTCTGTAATGCATAGAGATTAGGTGGGTGCGAAAGTGTAGCTGATATATTTGTTCCAATTGGCTACGAAAGTCAAACAAGAATAAAGAAGACTTATGTATAAGACGTCTTGCTATGCACAAATGAATTTATCAGCAGAACACCAGACACCAGATGAGCCCTGTCGCACTGCGACACTTGTTAAGTGCATATAATCGGCCGAAACGCATTGTATTGGTGGCCGAGGCTACAAGCAACCCGAGCACCATTACCACTCTACATTAGCATATGTATATATATATATAGGGCAAGAGGTGGCGGGATGCTGCGACCAGTGGAATTTTTAGGTCGGGTGATGCAATGCACATCTCTATCTGCCATACCCTTGTTCATTTTAAGTGTGTAAGATCGGCCAAAAACGTTTTCCTGGCTGGCAACTGTGGCCAGCAACCTGAGGGCCATTGTCCTTGTACTTTAGAATAGAGGAAGAACTGCGGCGGGATGCTATCATGCTGCAGCCGAAATAAAATGTCGAGATCAGATTTTACCATGCAGATCTCTCGGGCATTCTCCCGTCCATTTGCAGCGCGTAAGATCGGCCGAAAACATGTCTTGGCTGGTTACGGCGACAAGCGACACGAGTGCCATTCCTCATGTACATTGGCATAGGAGAAGTGGCGTGGCGTGGTGTTGCCTGCGGTCGAACTGAAATTTTCAGATCGGATTTTGTCATGCACATCTCCTTCGGGCATACCAATCTTTTTGGAGTGTGCAAGTTATGCACGTAAAAAGCGTGTAGGAAGTTTTATTCAATTCCCCTATTCCATACGTTTTACCATTTGTGTAACAGTTTTTAAAGTATCAATCACAAAAAAGACATGGCATAAATGAATGGTTTTATTGATAATAAATTACATGTTCTCATGTATGTAAGAAACTATGTGACGATAACTTAATAGATGGTTAGGTACATTCGTATGTACAGCACAAAACACGAAGGGAAGCAAAATAACAGATGTGATTGCTGCATAACATTCCACAGTAGTTGCGGACTGTGTTGCCACTTAACTATGTGCATCCAGCTCGTATCGACATTAGGTTCTGACTTTTGACATAAAACCTGGTTATCGTTGAGGGAAAGAAACTTGCAATTATGGATGACTCGTCATTTGTGTCGATAACATCTCTTTATTCATGAGAAACAGAACACTGTGAAGAATTTGGAAATTGATTCAATTTGATCAGAGTCACCAATAGCCTATAATCACATGTCACCAAACCTGCTCCCCATTGCTACCTATTTTCCAAACACACCTTACGGGTTACAGATACGCAGTGTATTGTTTTTTGGATTATAAAGCATACACAACAGTATTGATGGTAAGATAGAATTCGTGCCGTTTTAATATGGTTGACAGATAAACAAAACTGTATATCATAGCAACATTAGCATACCAATCTATCTTGCCAAGTATACCGCACAATCGAAATTATGTAATTAAAATGGATTGCTATGAGAAGTTCTCACATTTTTGCCCGTTGTTCAAAAGGCACCACTTCAACCAGCTACAGTGACTAGACATATAGCGGAAACCCTCGTTCTCGCACCATTACAGCGTTAAAGGGCAATGTATCAGATAAACCGGGGTTCACGAAACGATCATATTGATTCATAGTCACAATTCTACACAAATCTCTACATGGAGTATGGCACAGCCACGCATTTTCCTACTCAATTCCTGAGATACCATTAAGATTGCTAAAACATAAAGTAGACTGTAGAACTATGTGAGTAAATGTTTTGATACAATGTTATGCAAGCCGTGTTTAAATATAGTAAACGCCTACTATACAGGAAACTTACACATGCTAACTGGGCTCCAAAAGACAAGCACTTTGATACAAATTCAACAAACATAATACCAGCACGGAGTACAGACAGATGTAGACTAAGAAATACTTAAATGATGATAAAAAATGTGTAAAGTTTTGTCACCCGTGTCACAGCATCAAAACCTTGTGTCATAATTAACTAGCCTACCTACATAATACTATTAGGATTTGGCTGAACTCTGATTTAGCAAGAACTATTATTGTGGTCTTTATTATATGGCTACAAATACTTAGATGTTGACTGTACGTTGAGTGATATAATTCGAGTAACATGACTCGCGTTTCAAGTTGAAGTTAAAAGTTGAACAAGCGTAACTGTTTAATTTTTGTAATTAATATTAAACATTACAATTTATCCACCCACTACAGAAGAATAATATTGTTAACAAAATCTAAAACCTGGATAAGTGTCTGTTAGTAATTAACACACTGGCTAATTAGTGATATCTTTGATACAAACCAAAAATATGACCACACGCCAGCCCAAACATTTTCCTCAATTATAACCTCGGAGACATTTTGAATTTGATCCCAAGGAAATTACATATTGGATGGTCACCAAAAAACGTTTACATTTGCAATAGCCTATGATGAATAGGAACAGCACTCCTATGATAACGTATTGATAATTTTTATTCAAAAATAATAGCAGACGTCCTAGCAGTTGCCACCCGCACGGGACGGCCTCTCTAGTAGATGCGCTACTTGTAGCGGTATTTCTTTACACAGTCATTGCCTAGGTCGACGATGACCACATGGTGGTCGTGCGTGACAGCCAAGCCCGCTGGCCTCTTCAGCTTCGCGTCGAGACTGTCGATCTGGAACAGCGGCTTGCCGCTGTACGTGAACAGCTGCACGAAGTTGCGGCCACGCTCCGACCGTGTCACGAGCACGCGCTGGTCCCTGTCCACGACGATGCCCCCGTACTGACCCTTGCCCTTGCCCTCGGGGTAGATCTCCCGGTTGAACTTTCCGGACCGGCCGAAAATCTGCAGGCGGGAGTCGGCGACGACGACGTCGTCGTTGGCGCCGATCGCGAGGGCGGCGATGAGGCTGAACTGACCCGGGTCCTCGCCCTTCGTCGAGCCGATGCGTCGCAGCAGCTTCCCCGTCGCGTCGAAGATGAACACTTTGTGCGCGCCGGAGTCGCCGACGACGACCTCGCCGCGGGAGTTCACGGCGACACAGACCGGCTCGATGAAGTCCGCACACGTGAACTGCAGCCTCTGCGCGCAGACGAAGATGCAGACGATTTACTTAATTAACCAACGAAATGCGCACGCTCGACTGATTGATTAACGAAATGTACTAGCTCTTCATTAACTAACTTTCAAAACTTATGCTCAATTAATTAATTAAAGAGTAATTAAAAGTGTTTATAATATTAATGAATTCATAAAGTACACTCAGGTGGTAAATTAAATAAAAAAGGTACCCTCAATTAACGTGTGGAGTAAGTGCATGTTCTACTACTAATGTTCTACTTTACTCTCTGCAAAATTCTTGAGTAGGCTGACGACAACAGTCGTAGAGATCGAAAACTCGGCTCTGCTTCACCTAGTGTTTCTCTCCTCGCAGGATAGTGAAAGTCCCTGACTCGCTTATAGAAATACCAGAGTAAAAAATGCTCCCTGCACGTCGTGACTGCCGACAGCTTCGACAGTGTGACAGACAGACAGACACACCTGCTTGCCGTCCGGTGTAATTTCCGTGACCTGCTTCGTTCGCCAGTTGACGACGACAAGATTCTGAGAGGGAGTAATCGCGATGCCAGTCGCGCTCTGACTTCTAAGGCCCTCCGACGCGATGTGCTTCAGAAAGTGTAGCTCGTCTGTGAGCACCTGCAGAAGAGAAAAACAGTGGGAACTGAGATGTTGACCTTACCGCGATGATGACAAGGGATCGGCGCGTTTCTATTCACCAAAGAGAAATTTACACGGCCATCAACTTCGGAAAACTTTAAATGCTTGAAATGATGATGAATCGGGGCAATAGCAGTTCACGATCGTGGAAGAAAAAGAAAACATTGTAAAAGGTGCATAGAATGTAATAGTTTAGACACACTAGTATCTGCTAATAAGGCAATAAAATGCCATGAATGTGCGTCCCTACGTACGGATGTATGGATGCACTCACAAGACAAAGACGTGATGGATGTAGCTTGATGCAACTGTCCCCGCATGTGTGTGTGCATGCATGGGCTAGTGCGTGCGTGCGTGCGTGCGTGCGTGCGTGCACTCACCAATGTATGTATCCATACACAGGAATTACAGATGCATGACGTGACTGCTCCAGTACGTGTACGCGTGCGTGCATGAGTGCTCACCCGTAACTGCGCACACACGCACGTAGATGCGGACCATATTTCCGAAGAGGGGGCGTACCTTAATGCGACTGTTGCCTGTGTCGGTGACGTAGATGTTGCCCGTCTGATGGACGGCGATGCCGACGGGCTGGATGAAGCTGTGCTCGCCCGAGCCGCGGTCGCCGCACTGCAGCACCGGGTTGTTCGTCTCGGTGACGTCGATCTTGAACGGACTGCCGCGGATCGGCCGATCGAAGATACTGATGAACAGCTTGTAGGTTCCCTCCAGGTGCGGCGTGTAGCGCACCTGTGGACGCATCGCAATGGTAAATGAGAGATCACGCACGGGTAGAAAGTAGCAAAATTGCATGCCTGTGGGGGCGATTTAGGCAGAATAATGTGACCATGGTAGTTAGACTTACTAGTGTTAATGAGTGACGTAGTATGAAGTGACCTTAGTATGAAGTGACCTTACTAGATGCTTACAGAGGAGTGGATTTGTAGGAAGGGTAGCTGATGTACTGGACCAAGGGAGGGCAATATAATGTAACACGACTAGTTAGATTAAGATGATAATTAATTTGAATGGGGATTTTTAAGAGGCCACAGCTGGGTGCGAGGGGGTAGATGCCCTGGGTAGAAACAGCTGGGTGCGAGGGGGTAGATGCCCTGGGTAGAAACAGCTGGGTGCGAGGGGGTAAGGTAGATGCCCTGGGTAGAAACAGCTGGGTGCGAGGGGGTAGATGCCCTGGGTAGAAACAGCTGGGTGCGAGGGGGTAGATGCCCTGGGTAGAAAACACTAGCTGCCCCCGAACGTACCTCTCTCCTACCCTCGCCGCCACCACTGCAATATATTTTAGCATACCTCCACCATAATATTGCTGCATTTCTCACGAATCTCCACCCTACCCTCACCGCCAGCAGCCGCGCTACGCACCGTGTACGAGCCGTCGTTGCTGTCGCGGACGCGCGCCTCGACGCGGTCGCCCGTCTCGTTGCGCATGTCGACAAACAGCGGGTCGCCGCCCTCCGTCTGCACGTCGCCGTGGTAGTCGACGGCGCCGACGCGCACGAGCCACTCGAGGTGCGTGACGGCGAGCGCGTCGTATCGCGCCGTGCACAGCGCCGGGAACGTCTTCGAGACGCGCACGCGGCCAAAGTCGCGCAGCGCGTGCTCGACGTTGGCGATCGCGGCGTTGTGCTTGTGCTCGTAGCGCACGAACGCGTTCTCGCGCGGCTCGATGAGCGTCGTCGTCGCGTCCAGCTTCTCGTTCAGGTCGCTGATCTTCTTCGTGATGTTGCGCACCTCCACCTGGTGACGACGAGAGAGAATCACTACGTTACGCGCGTCACCAATGACAAGAGAGCTTCACCCATGACAAGAGATAATCACTACGTTACGCGCGTCGACCATTGGTGACAAAAGAATCACTACGTAACACGTGTCACCCATGACAAGAGCATTACTACATTACACGCGTCGACCTTGGCGATGAGAGAATCACTACGTAACACGCGTCACCCATGACAAGAGAGCATTACTACATTATGCGCGTCGACCTTGGTGATGAGAGAATCACTACGTAACGCGTGCCACCCATGACAAGAGAGCATCACTACGTTACGCGCGTCGACCTTGGCGATGAGAGAATCATTACGTAACGCGCGTCACCCATGACAAGAGAGTATCACTACATTACGCGCATCCACCTGGTGATGACGAGAGAATCACTACGTTACGCGTGTCACCCATGACAAGAGAGCATCACTACGTTACGCGCGTCACCCATGACAAGAGAGCATTACTACGTAACGCGCGTCGACCTTGGTGATGAGAGAATCACTACGTAACGCGCGTCAAACTTGCCAGTGTGATTTCACACTGTCGGCATGAAATCATTAGGTTAGGCAATTCCAACTTAACAGTGGGACACTGTTACGATTCTATTTTCTCAACGTAACATTAGACCCACTTTAACTCTGCCCACGTACAGTGGTCACACTTAAAACCTGACAGACAACACGAAATCATTACGTTGCATGCTCGCAATTGCACCAGACATTCCATCTCTGACAACGCAGATTTGGACGCGCTTCGACCTCGACAATGCAAACGACTCGGCAACGCCTGTACGAGGACTCCCTCGCGCCGCACGCACTGACCTGGTAGTGATTATTATATGTAACAAGGCCTCTGATTGGGTAAAAGGGCCATAACTTAACCACGCTCGAATTATTTCTACCGCGTTAAAAATAATTATTTCTGAGTACGATGGCCAACCCAACCGCCTGTGCTGACCTGGTAGTGAAGGCCGCCGCAGTCTCTCTCCACCTGGTCCTTCTCGCCCTGGATGATGTCGAGCTGCTCGCGTAGCACCTTGCGCTTCTCGTCGCGCACAGACTGCAGATGCTGCAGTACCTCGTGCCGCCGCCTCTCCAGCAGCCCGATGAGGTCCTGAAACGACCTGCAACAACGCGCAGCGCACGGTTCATGCACACGCTGCATGGTCAGAGGTCAAGGGTCGTAGGTTAGGGGTTAGAAGGTCAGAGGTTAGAATGTCATAGGATAGTGGTTCAGGGGGTTAGGAGGGCATGGGTTAGGAGGTCAGAAGTTAGGAGGTCAGGGGGTTAGCAGGTCATATGTTAGGAGGTTAGGAGGTTACGGGGTTTAGATGTTAGCAGGTCATCAGAGATTAGAAGTATGACTAAGCCAGGAGGCCATAAAATTTACTAACACTATCCTCTTATTCCACCATGCTCATCCTATCCTGTTGCCTACCCCTTCACTATAGCTATTCTCTCGTGCCACCATGGCCATCCTATCCTATTGCCTACCCCTTCACTATAGCTATTCTCTCGTGCCACCATGGCCATCCTATCCTATTGCCTACCCCTTCACTATATAGCTACTCTAGCATGCCACCATATCCATTCTACTCAATTATTCTTTCACAGATCTATTTTATCGCATATTTGACCCTATCACTATAGCGACCATACTCATTCATGCCTATAATCAAACCATACCATTAAACGCTTACTACGACTAGTAGTGAGTAAGAATGTTTCATTTCTCCCGTATCAAGGCCACCACAAACCTGTTGACAAGCTCGAATGTACGATCAACGTTGGCATCAAGCTTTCGCATTTCTTCAGTTACATTATCCTGGGCTCTCGTTAAATTCACTAAGCACCTGCAGATAGAGCAAATTAATAACGATTTTATTTCCACGCGTAAATGGTGAATGTAATGTCAACAACCATCAATCAGAAACACTAGCTGTAAGAACTAAAAATCAATACCAGTGAGCAAGTCTGGCAGAATATAATCGTATGGAACGTCTGTACTTAGGTAACCTTTCTTTCTTTTTACAATTCTATAGCAAACAATGTGTGACCGAAAAGTTCACAATCCCCCTCATGAATACACATGTTTACGCAGAAATCTAGCCTTTCACCGAATGACATTTGTCTCCTTGTTACCTTTGGCATATATGCAAGAGCTCATAATACCGGATCAGCTATCGATAACTGTTACTGCAATTGTTGGCATCTTACAAAGTGAAAGCGTGAACCTAGATATTTACCTGTTAGCCTTATGTAGCAGAATCTCTGACATTCGCTTGATTGCAATTGAAAAAGGTATCACAGTATGCTCATGATTTCCACCACAGTGCGTGCCACCTAGTTGGGAATACAGAACATGTATCACCAGATCACTGAAAATTTATTTTGACTCACGTACGTTATGTATGTGTTCATAGTGCAGGTGAACAATGTCAAATCAACATATATTGATTAATTAATGATTTCGTGATGTAACACAGGAAAGGGAGTTATGGCATAAAAAAACTCCACTCACTTTTAATTCTTAAGAGTGAATTTTCGTTATAACGAGTAAAGTGCTAATATTTTACGAATTGGATATGGACAAATGTACGTAACCTGAGTTGTGGTAAAGTGGAGTAAGAAACTGAGACACGGAACAGCCGTTGGAAAACGAACCTGTGCAGACTGTGCAGAACACGATGTCGCACGTCTCACAGAAGAGCAGCTCCTGCGAGGAATGTATAGAACACTTGGGGATGATGTCGCGTCTCTGCCGCGCCATGAGATCCATTAGCTGGTTCACCTGAGGGAACGATGGCAGAGAGAAGCTGTTGGGAGACTCACTACAGATGCAACATCAACCGACTCCTCACACAGCTATCTTCACGAGGCATTACTAGATGTATTTAAAAGTATCTAGGTGTATTTAAAAGATTTTAGGATGCACGTAAACTCTGGCATGACGATTCTGACCATTTCACTGAAAAAGCACTTCATTTGAGAATAATTTATTTATATTACTTTCAGCTTTGAATGAATCTAATCAGAAGAGAAATGTTTTATTATCAAGTGCTAAATCGTGTGTCAGGGGAATTTCAACCACAACCATGTGCCAAGTGGTTTCAGATGCATACAATGACTAGTAGAAAGTTTTAGTGCTGGTGAATGGAACTCCTAGTGATAGGATGCACAGCTCAAATTACGTATCTACTCTCCCTTTCCGTTTGGCGATCCCTCTACTATTCTGAGAATGGCCTCATCGAAGGCTTTTTAACCACACTTACTGTGCGATAAATGCTATAAGTTTAATACCGTATAATACAACCAGGAGTGTATCAATACAGACCTATCAATATGTATCAATATCAATCAGGAGTGTATATTGATACACTCCTGATACAACGTATGAATATTGACATTGACGAAGACAAACAACACATGCAAGCACGCTCACAGGCAGACGAACCCCACAGATGCACGCACACGCACACAGGCAGGTGCGCATATCTGCTTGTACAGCATCTAAAATGCACGTTTCACAGCGCAGTAATGTGTGACTTGCAGCCTAATCAGACCCCCCCCCCCCGATTTATCATAATTATCTATTATGCAGCCATTAACTTTCCAATTAAAATTTACACTATGTAGCTACTACTAAGCTACTAGGAACTACTATAGCATTGCCACAGTATACAATCATATGACAAGGTTCAACATTGAGAACCGTATGCGTACGCGGATCTATAGGTATTACGACACGAAAACCTCTCAATTTTCCTTGGTTTTTCAGCGGGAGCAAATAGTAGCTCATTCATGCCCACCGGTGACACAAAAGGAAATGTGTGGCAGAACAATTGTCGAGGGAGGCGCCGGCAGACATTACCACGAGTCGAGCAAAGACACGCCGAGTCGTTTGAAAAATTCGTGCAATTCTCATCCGCGAACCATTCAGCATTTCCGTTTGCCGTGTCGAACTTCTAGTCACTGTAATTCGGTGGATCTGACTATAACGAGAGGTGCATGACATGTCAAATGAGTCCCTTCACAATACACACCAGAAAGCTCGGTGGAAAGGTGGCGACGCCGCCGCGTGGAATCTGTATGACGTCACGACAGATTGGGCACCGGATGGAAGCCGTGTCACGTGTTTGTGCTTCAACGATCCGCTCCAAACACAGCCTGTAAAGCGCAAGTGCCGCTGTCACAAACCACCCACACAACAGGTGCCCGGCTGACACACACTTATGTATAAGCACATGCATGCGGACGGTCTCCACAACTTGCGCATTTCAGACATAACCCTCTAATAGCAAAACCAATTGGGTAACAACTAACAAATCACGGCACTACGGATGAATCTTCTGACTTACTTGTGCACAGGTCAGAGTATTCACACTGGTGAAAGGGCAGCAGGGGAGAAGTTTGGGCATGTGATCCCATCAGGAGTGTATAATATAGACTCTATGTTATACACTCCTGATTCTATGAGTGACCTACCTGCACACGGTGTGAGAACAGGGGAGGAGCTTGGGTATGTGCTCCTGTGAGTCGTAGGTGCACATGCAAGTTCCGCAGGTGAGAAAGCTCTCGCTGAAATCATCGTAGTTGATTGAGACTGTCTCAACCAACCGTGATGTCATCATTTTTTCAAGCTCCTCCTGCAGAGAAAGTAATTGAGAACAATTTGATTAGTACAATCAAATATATATGTGCTTACCCTCACTACGGGGTAGTTAATAACCTGCTATTAACCATGCGGAGACCCGCATATTTTTTATAATACTGAGGTCACCTTCACCGATATCGGTTACATGTACAAGCTGAAAATGATTCAATAAATTATGAAGCCTTGGCAGTGTAATATCATTTTAGACATAATATTGCGCATGTAACATGCATTTTTAAGGAACACATTTAAACCCCATCACACCGTAATGGTTCTTGCCCACACATACGTACTGTGGTCTGGCTGGACTGCTTACTGTATACATATACAATGCCAGGTACATTACTTTCACTTCATTTACCCGAGTGGTTGGCAAACAAGTGCTTATTTATTTATTATCATACAGCAGCAAGTCTCTCTGAGCATCTTTCCTTCAACGTATCTTGGCCATACACGTTTTCCCACATGCATTTGTGGTTCAACCGATCTAATGTATAGATTGATATAACAAGAGCAATAAAGGCCTTCACAATAACATCACCGAATGCGCGCGCGTACAATAATTGATGACCTACTATTGGTTGATATACAGAAATTACAAGCAAATGTTTACATTCGATTTATATACAGTGAAACCTGTAACGGCGCACACCTTCATAGAACCGACACTTGTCTGTAAAGAACACCATTGCGGGAGTTCTTCTCGTTAGTGAGCCAGAGGTGAGCATCTCGATGGACAGGTCTGATCGCTATCTGAATTTCATGCTCTGTATATATATATATACTGTACACATATATATATATATTATATATATATATATATATATATACAAACATCTAAAAATACGGCTATAAGAATTATAATTCTGACCCTGAATAATAAACCTCGCAGGACTGCTCTCTTCCCATTCTATAAACCTTTCTGTGCCCACGTGTATATACAGAGGCGAGAGAAACACTCAATATAATCAATTCCCCTGGTGCGCGCCACTGATCGCATAGACGAGGAACTATATAGATGTATAAATATATAATGCAGAGAGCGACAACGCATATACATACAACAGCTGCTGCCCGCCAGCAGCAACCTGTCCACGCACCAGACTATTTACAAAACACGCGGCTCACAGGCACTTGAAGCATTTCAATAAAATATAATGCTAACTAAATACGAAATCTATTTACTACCAAATTCTTAGTGTTTCTCTACATATCTTTCACCTATATTGCCGACAGTTTCCTGTAAATTCCGTCCAAATCCTACGTGCAACCATATACGCTGCCGGCGCCATATATATATATATTATATTAGTGTAAGCGTGCAACAGTGGAGCCGCGAGAGCAATGGCGCCGGCAGCGTATATGGTTGCACGTAGGATTTGGACGAAATTTACAGGAAACTGTCGGCAATAATAGGTGAAAGAGACTAGAGAAACACTAAGAATTTTGTAGTAAATAGATTTCGTATTTAGTTAGCATTATATTTTATTGAAACGCTTCAAGTGCCTGTGACGCGGCTAGGCAGCTGATGGCAGATTGACTGAATTCGCTCAGAGACGGCAGGGGAGAGAGCAGACTGGCAGCGTAATGCACTCAGCCGCACGGACCTCTCGCGTCAGTCTACGAGGAGAGATTGAAACGCTGCGGTGGCCGCTGCTGCGGCTGCAGAAGCCAGACAACACTCCGCGCGACGCCGATCTCCACCTTTCTGCATGCTGGCGCCTGTGTTCGTCTGCGTGACTCGTGCAGTGACGCCATGCATCACACACGGCTCTACCACAGCAATTCATTCGTGCGATCTCTGACACCGCCGCTACAGCGAGCTTCCTCCTCCCCCCCCCCCGGTAGCGGTGTGATGATGAAGTGACAGACAGAGTTCTCTCTGTGCAGTCACGAACTATGAGGACGGGAACCGGAGACCGGAGGTGCATTCTCAGTTTCCAGGTGAAAAATTTTTCCAGTTCCGGCGCGATTTCGGCTCTCCCGCGTCCGGTTGACTGATTGTTCCAAAATCAACGGATTTTTTTCGGTATTTCCCGGTTCTTAGATAATTAATGTGGTCTAGTCCCGCGCCAGAACATAAAAGCCCCACCTCCTTCAACTTAGTACGAGTCTGCGGCAACGACTCCCACATATAATTGCTTCGCAAAGCCGTGAGCTATTACGCAGTTACATATTAAATCATCGAATCAGTGCAAATTAATGTCATCAAATTCGGATGCAAATTAAAACGTCAGGCACACACGCGTACAGGCATACTCAGGCGGTTCCACGCGAAATCAGAAGCCGTATTATACAACCCATGCGACGTAATTAGGGACGCGAACTGTCACAGCCACTGGCAATTGTGTTTGGAGCAAGCGGAATACGGGGCAGGGGTAGACGTAGCAAACGCTGCCACGTGTAATATATACGTGTCGCTCTTTTTCTGCCCGTAGATAAACGGAGTCCCGGCGACTACTAGTGTATGAAGAGTCAGGATCGATACGCCAACAGCTGCATGAGACAGGTTGCGTCACGAATTCATTTACAACTAACGCCCGTGATGCCGGTGTGTCTTCCCATTTCGCCATTTCCATTTCCGCCATTTCTCATTTCGCCAGTTTCCCATTTCGCCATTTTCGCCAGTTTCCCATTTCGCCAATATTTTATGTTGCTTCCACCCCCTGCACGAAATTGATCCTTCCATTCTTAAAAAAGAGTCATTTCTAGGGTTAGGGTTAGGGTTAGGGCTAGGGTTAGGGTTAGGGTTAGGGTGCCTGTACATGATCCATATGTTTTGATATGTACGATTTCGCCTTCTTGTTCTTCAAATAAATAGTTGACTCCATATCTAAAGATTCGTTATAATTTATTCATTACAGAGGCCTACTTTTAACCTAACCTCGAACAAGGGGTGGTCGGGGGATAGGACGAAATGGCGGAATAGGAAACTGGCGAAACGGGAAACTGGCGAAATGGAGGAAACTGGGCGAAAGTGGGAAATGGCGAAAGGAAAAATGGCGAAGTGGGAAATGGCGAAACGGGAAATGCGAAATGGCAAATGGCGAAGTGGGACTTTTTAAATGCGAAATGACAAATGGCGAAGTGGGAAAATGGCGAAATGGAATAAACCGATGCCGGTGTACCCATAGTATTTGGACGCTCGCCGAAACTGCACGCTCCTAAGTGCGCATGCGCGCAGGCGCCTCTTGTTTTGCAAGGGCGCACACAGCGCAGTAGTCATCTGCGCATCTTGCCTTCGAAACGGTCGCAATAAACAAACATGGCAGACTTCTCGTCACTGATGGAAAACATTTGATTGAAACAGTTTGCAATATGTAGTAAATTAGTAGACTTGTTATGTGCCGTTAGGTTACACAGGCGAAAACAAAAAGAAAACAAAGAGCATGGCTACTATTTCCTACGGCCCTGCAAAACAAGATTCAACAAAAAGAAAAAAATCAAGAGCAAACCAAAAGAGCCATGCCTCGGAGGCGTCCAAATACTACGGTACACCTGTATTATATATAATTTAGAAATGCTGCATAACACATTCTCGCCCACTAATAATGCCTTTCCACGTCGCCGGCTGGTGGCGAGCAAATACATCGGCTATAGTATAATCAGCGTGAGAAACTAGCGTCGCCCAGTCGCCAGTGGCGATTAGAAAATTGACGCGGGCGAACTGCTTGCTCGTGTCAGCTGGTCCGGCGGGCGACTAGACAATCGCCGCACATCAACGCATCAACGCATGATTCGCCAACATGTATAAAAACTCGCGACAGTCTAAGAAATCGATTGCTACATCGCCGGCAGCCCAGAGTTTTTATGCCCACATAACAATAAGTTTTTATATCGCAGGGGTTATCGTGGGGAGTGAGGGCACGACCAGTGACACCTGACACGCACGTAATCAAAGCTTAATTCGTCACTTTTCTTAACGTAGAAAGTGGACTATTTTTATTCAGTTAGATATCTAGAAGCAATATTCTAGAAGATACTTCTAGAGTTCTCAGGCACTTGTAACTTTGCAGATGTGCGGCAGCATTGATCTATGCATGGGGCTACCCTGGACTGGGGAGGAGAAAACGAAAGTAAAACCTTGCCCAGAAGCTCGCGGCATTCTAGAGATTCAATACAAGTTTTTTACATACTCAAAGTAACTAAACACGCTCTGAAGTTCTGAACTTGCTCAGTTCGATGTAAAAAGAAAAGTTGAAAGATGAAGGAAATGAAGTAAAAAAAAAGAAACTTGAAAATACCATACCATCATTACATGATTATAATTCTTGATTGCCTGTCTTTGTCATGTTACCTGACTATGTTGTACTGTGTAGTGATATCTGTCTGTGTGAATGAAATTGAATAAGAATGTGATTGGTTCTTGGTCGAGTGAAATGAGAATAAAAAAATGTGATCGAATGTAATTTGTTGACGATTTCTTAACACTGATAGTCTCATACTGGTGTAGCTCCAAGAAACGCGTATTGCTAGGGTTAGTATATTGACGATAGTCACACAGCCTGGTTGGGGTTAATACTGGGCAGAGTGCTGAATGCTGATGATATATATTAGAGTCAGTGAGTGCATCAAAATTATGAAAATTTTAACAAAATCATGCTCGAAAAAGTAAGCCTAAAATAGCTCCCGCTAAAAAAAGTAATTTTTAGGCTGCCGCACAGGAAATAAAAAATTTATTCTTTTTATTTCTACTAACCTTCTACATTATTCTAATGAAATGAATGGGTAAATTTAATCAAATATAGACATAAATCGTCAAATCTCGAAGCCTAAGTCCAGGCGAAGTACACAAACTCTCCATGTTTGTTGTGTTAAATTTTCTAGGTCATGCTGTTAAACCTCTGCTAATTCGAATAATACTGGCATCCTCGACCAATCACTGAATCAGCGATCGCGTAATAAAATATGATAATTTTGATGATAATAAGAATAATGCCGGTCTTCAGAGACGCTGATCTTTTGAAATAGACTTGCGGACTATGTTCCGAT